TGTCTGCTGTCTTCGGGGTATTCAGTGGTTATTTTCCTCATTTATTGATTGTAGATTTGTTTGTTTTGTCCTGCTTTTTTGTTCTATTTGGTTATGTCTGAGCAGGTGGGCTGTGCATTCTTTGTAGTTTGCTTGTCTGTGAGCACATTACTTTTTACCTCCTTCTCCAATGGGCAGGGTCAGTCACTCAGGTATGGTACAGCAGGGCAGGTCCAGCTAAAGGGGAGTTGCTGGGATGGGTTGTTTGTGGCACGTACCAGGGCTGACAGTGTGTACCAGGAATCAGTGCAGGGCAGGTTCCAGTAGGTCATACCTGTGCTGCTTGGGAGTGTGCTGTTCAGTACATGGTGCAGGCAGATAGGAAGGAGGGGGTAGATTATGATGTGTGGAGCTAAGATGGGTATGGGAAAGAGGAGAGAGAGAGGAACAGGAGCCAAAAACAAACAAAAAAGAGTGCTAAAGGAGCTTGCTATTGGAGTGGAGAGATGAGAGACTGAGAAATAGGGAAAAACAAAAATGAAAAAAGAGAAAAGGGTAAAAGAAAAAAATGAATAAATCGAGAAGCTGGAAATGAAGAAAGACAAAAACGGAATAAAGGAGAGAAGAAAACAAAACAAGGAAACGAAAAAAAAAAAACCCAAAACCAAAAAAAAAAAAAAAGAAAGAAAAAAGAAATGCCCCCAGGGATATCCCTGTGCGTCTGCGCAGAGTAAAGGAGTAGCCTCCAAGCCGCGCGGCACTGCCCGGCTAGAAGAGGCTCCAAAGCTGAGAAAAGAAAAAGAAAACAAACAAACAAACCAGAACAAATCAGAGCAAACAAACAAAAAAGCACCAGAGGTCCCACCAGTGTGGCAGCATGGGCCAGGAAACAGTTTCACAGTGGAGCAGTGTTTCACAGCCTTTCAGGAAAAGCAAAGATGGCACAGGGAGCCAGATATTTGAGAGAAAGGAGGGGGAGGTGGTGAGAGGTAAGGAAGAAATCTAAAGAAGTGGAAAAAAAGCAACACCAGCTGCCAATAAAAGGCAGTCAGGGAGCGGGCCAGTGTGGGTGGGTGGAATCCAAGCAACACCAGGGTAAAGCTGGTGCTTCCTGGCCAAGAGACTGTGGCTGCAGGATGCAGAGGAGGCTAAGTGGGGGTGAATAGGTGAATAAGTGTGGGGGGTGGGAAAGCATATATCGCTGGTTACCAGCTGTTCTGTCTCCTGCTGGAGGCTCTGTGAAGCTGCTTTCTCGTACCCCCTGTTCACCGATCTCCAATAGGAGTCCAAGATGGTGGATCTGTGCTGTGGTAGCTGATAGGGGACCTCTGCATGTATCTCTCCTCGCTCTCTGTTCTCGGTCAGTTTCTTATTCCATACGGTGCTTGGCTGACTTATCTCTTCATTTGATGCTTAGGGTTTCAGGACTGATGTTTGACTCTGTTTGACTTAGTTTTTCTGATCTTTGCTGCGGAGGGACGGCATGGTGCTTCTGACTATGTCACCATGTTGCCCGGAAGTCTCCACACCGTTTCTTTTTTTGTATACTTTATCTTTAGTAAGATGTACTATATACAACATTGCAGCATGTAATTTGCTGTTATCATTCTCAGATGTTCACTTGCAGATGTTCATAGTTATGATTTATAAAGATACTGATAATAAAAGGTAATAATAATGAAAACTAAAAAAAAATGAGGTATTTGACTTATGTCAGAACCGACTTATGATAGAGTTGTTGGAATGGAACTCCGTCTTATGTCAGGGACTACCTGCATACAGTTCAATGTTTTGTTAGTATATTTACAGTCGTGCCACCATCACCATAATCTAATTGTTTCATTTCTTACTTTTTTTCATTGAGATATAATCCACATACAGTAATATTCACCCTTGTAAAGTATACAGTTTGGTAGTTTTTAGTATATTCACAAAATTGTGCAACCATCACCACTGTCTAATTCTGGGACATTTCATAACCCCAAAAAGAAACCTTGTACTTATTAGCAGTGACTCCTCATTTCCACCCAACTCCTCCAGCCCCAGACAACCACTAATCTACTTTTCGTCTCTATGGATTTGCCTATTCTAGACAATTCATATAAATGGAATCGAACAATGTGTGTTCTTTTGTAACTGGCACCTTTTACTTAGCATAATGTTTTCAAGGTTCACCCAGGTAGTCACTTTATTTCTTTTTACTGCCTAATAATACTCTATTGTAGGGATATGCCCCATTTGGTTTATCTATTTATCAATTGATGGATATTTGTGTTGTTTCCACTTTTTGGCTATTATGATAAATGTTGCTATGAACATTCATGTAAAGTCTTTGTGTGGAGATATGTTTTCACTTCTCTTGTAAACACCTAGGAGTGGAATTACTGGATCAGGTGCTAATTACTCTTAAGAGAATAACAGAAATTTATTTTTTTTCTATTTCAAAGAGTTTTTAACAGAGCCAAGAAACTGGTTTTTCATAAAAAGGCTGATATAAAATCTAATCTTAGAATAGAAATTCTAAGACGAGGTGAGAATTCCTTTTAGTGTAAATCATAACACTAAATGGAGTTTGCAGCAGTCTAATCAATATGCTAGGATCAAATTCTTAAGCCACATCTCCTGTGGCTGACAATTGCTTAAGAGATAAGTACACAGTAAGGGGAGGTTTATACAGTACAAAAAGCAACAAATCAGAGTTTAAAATATTAGACACTCTAATTAAAACTATTCATTTTCCTTCCCTAGCGGGGGTCTGTTTCTCATTTCATTAGAAAAAGGTGGATCGTTCATTATAATTAGTTATATAAATTTCCCCCAAAACCTTTGATAAAAGCATATTTCAGAAGCTGAAGGCCAACTAAACCTCTGGTCACATGTTATTTTTGTTTTTTTCCTGGCAATGTACATTCTAGTTCAAATATATCCAGGGAGCCGACTTTGAAGAGAGAAATTAAGAGTTGATTGTAAAATTCTACATAAACAAGAGCTTAAAAAACACATTTCAATTCAAGGTAAAATTAACCATCATGCGGGGGAAATTAAGCATAATCAAGGGAAAACTATCAGGCGTCCTACCAAGCACAGCACTAGAGAACGCCACAGGTCACCCAAAATACGCATTCTTTTTAGCCAAAGCTCTCTCCTCCCGCCAAAGCTCTAGGAATCTAGAGCGTCAGAAAAATGACCCAACCAGTGACTTATGATTCCTTTTTGATTCTCCCTATCCACCTGCTTGGAGGTGTCAAGGTGACTAAAAATGGTTAACAGTGGCCAGCAGCAGAGAGAAGCAAACATCCCTGACAACCCACAGCTGAGTAAGCAAGAGCTGTTTATTCACGAACATGTTCCATTTGGAGACTGCCGTCAAGTCCTGAAAGCCCAGGCATATTTTAGAAGGTTCCTTGAGAGGGAGAGAATAATCCTTTTATTCCCACCCCCGCCCCAACACACTCTGAGAGGCTCGGCTAGAAGCCATCTGGTCAAGACAGACCCTACCCACCGACCCCCCAAGAATAACCTCACGCACCAGAGCATCCGACCTTCCTGGGGATTGTGTAACTTCCCAAAACAGGTTTTGAGAGGGAGAGGCTGGCCTCAGCTTTAGAAGGGACTTCTGCTACCCCCATCCTCGCCAAGGCCCGCCCCAACGCCGGGGCCGGGGCTGTAGACCCTGGCGAGGAATGGCCCTTCCAGCTCCCTCTCCTCACCTGGCTCCGTCCCACCTGAGGGCAAGAGGTGCGGGGAAAAGAAACAGGCAAGGAAGGCTGACCTTGTTGCTACTGACAGTGGAGCGACACATCCTGCTGCTTCTTGGAAAGCGGCCCGAAGGACATCCTTCCCCCCGAAGGAAGGAAACCGGAGGGCGCCGGCCGGGCGGCGGCGGGCGCGGCGGCGGTGGTCGGGGCGGGCTGTGCAGCCTCTAGCGGGGACGGTCCGAGGACTACATCTCCCAGGCTGCTCTGGGCCGCCCTGCGTCGTGACCCCGGCGCGCACGGAGGCGGTGACTCTTACCTCACAGAGGTAGCTCCTCCGCCGGCAGCAACTCGGCGTCCGCGGTCCATGGACCGGAACCTCCGGCCGACGGATAGGAACCCGGGCCGCGACCGCCGCCTCCCTGCCCCAGTCTCCTCCTCCTCGCTCCCCACCGCCACCTCTGGACACCCGCAGGCCGCGCACCGCCTCTGCCGGGTTCGCGGAGCCGTCCCGGAAGGTTGGGTGGCGGGTTCGCAGCTGCCACCGGACTGAGGCCTACTCTGCCGCCGCCGCCGCCGCCGCCTCTCAGTGCTATTGTCCCTGGGCCCGGCCCTCAGCGGGTCCACTGGGGAGTGCCGAGTACGCCGGCTTCGCTGACGATGCCGGACCAAGCCCTGCAGCAGATGCTGGACAGGTACGGGCAGCTTTGGGGTAGGACGGGAGTCACGGACGGTCGCTCTGCCTCTCCTCGCGCCCGTCCTCGAGGCTCTTCGTGAGAAGAGTCCGACGTGCCCGGAGGAGTTCCACGGCCGAGGGGCCGTGTGAGGGGCAGAAAGTTTGAAGTTTATACTCGGGGGAGGACAGAGCGGGCGGCCTCGGTTTGTAGATTAGAGGGAAACTTAGTTGAGAAATAGCGTCTAATTTGTTGGAAGGCCGTTTTTAAAATGAGAGGAGCTCACGTTAACCCACAGGATTAGTTTCTTTTCCTTGTTCCCTCCTCTCCAACTATGTTGTGTTTGTCACCGATGTCACTGGCAAGAAGGACCAGATTATCTTTCAGGAGAATGACCCTCCTACAATTTAAAGGCTCTTTCCAAAAACCAAGGATAAGCATTTCTCCCCCAACTCCCCATTCCCACTCCCAAACTGTAAGATCATAGTATCCGCAATGGAGCTTTAACGGTCAAACAAGAGTAGAGGTTATGGAAAACAGCCACATGAATCCCATCGCTGGCCAGTTAGCGTACTTTACGATTAGTTGAGTTCATTGACGAAGTTTCAGCCTATACTGAAGCCGGTTGCCCATTTTGGGGGGCTCCAGTTGTTAAAACTTTTTTTGTGTAGTCAGCTGCACTGCCCTCTGCTGTTCAAATTTTAGTCCATGGGTTCTACCATGATTTTTTGGAGACTCGTAACGCGCATTTTTCTCTAACCAGGTCTTCCTGGTATAGCCAATTGTACAGGCTAATGCATAATGTTTGTGGTTGCTTGCTATTCTCAACAGACATCACTTTCCACTCTGTTCAGCAGGTGGTACAGCTCTTTGTGCTAAGTTCCAACTGTAAGATGTTGTAAAAGAAGGGCTTCCCTTAGTTGAGATTTTACTATTTAAATGCTGTGTGTGTCTGCCACACCCAGAACATAAATCACTCAAGAGTACACCTCTACCCAGATGACATGGACATTTCTTTTGTAGCTTAGAATTTTGAGACACCGAAGTTGATAGAAACTATGTAAGTTTTTTCCAGTTGGGGTGATCGTTGGTTAATTCAGTCTTTGTTTCAGGTTAGCAGTCCGACATTGTATTGACTACCCTTTCCTTACGTATGTAGTTTACAAGTTCCTGGAAGACAGAAACTTATCATTGTTTACCTTGAGTTCTAGCACTGATTCTGCTACTCAACAGGTAATCAGTAAGTGTTGTATGAACAAATGCATTAATTTATTTCTCAGTTTACCGGATTTTCCTTCTATTATAATTTAGCATACTGGCAAATTGTATTTAAAAAAAAAACTAACAGTTGCTGTCGTATCAACACCAACTCATGGCAACTCTGTGTGTGTCAGAGTAAAAACTGTGCTCGATAGGGTTTTCAGTGGCTGATTTTTTTCGGAAGTAGATCGCCAGGCCTTTTGAGGCACCACTGGGTGGATACCAGCTGAGTGTATCAACTCTTTGCACCACCCAGGGACTCCCATGCGTGTTTGTTGTTGTTATGTGCCTTGGAGTTGGTTCCTACTCCGTGACCCAATAGGACAGGGTGGACCTGTCCCATAGGGTTTTCTAGGTTGAAATCTTAACAGGAACATATCGCCAGGTCTTTTCTCCTGCATAGCCACTGGTGGGCTCGAACCACTCACCTTTCTATTAGCAGCTGAATGCTTAACCATTGCAACTGCCAGCCAAGAATTATATATTTAGCAGAACTGCCTCTCAAATATGATGATGAAATTAGGGCTTTTACAGATAAACTGAAGTTTAGGGAATTTGCAAAAACCAAACCAAAATTACAAGAAATACTAAAGGGAGTCCTCTGGTTAGAAAATCAGTGACATCAGATAACAACGCAAGACTGGAACACAGGACAGAGCAACCAGATATTGACTCAGATAGGGAAGTCAAAAATACATCAAAGCTAAAACATTGAAAATAGGGAAACAGAGATATCAATATGTAAAAAAGGACAACATTAAAACAAAAAAGAGGGACTTAAAAAATATAGACATAGATTTTTCATATGGAGGGGAAGTCAAGGTGATATAAAGAAATAAAAGACTGGTATAAACTTAGAAAAATAGGGGTAAGTATTAAGGTAACCACAAAGGAAACTAACAATCCTACAAATCAAAATGAATGCTTAACCATTGCACCATCAGGGCTCCTTTCATGCATGTATCAAAAAAACACTGAAAACCAAACCCAATGCCGTCGAGTCGATTCCAACTTATAGCGACCCTATAGGACAGAGTAGAACTGCCCCATAGGGTTTCCAAGGAAAAGCTGGTATTCGAACTGCCGACCTTTTGGTTAGCAGCCATTCTCTTAACCACTTTGTCACCGGGTCTCCATATGAGGACTACTAAAATATGCCCAGAGGAGGTTGCTTCCTGCCATTGCCAATTCCAATCAGATAGGGCCCTACTTTGACAGAGTATTTTGTAATAGATTTTTTTTCCCCTCCTCTGAGGGCCTGCTGCTTTCATTTTTATGAAGGTCACTTTTTATAAAAGTTCTTGTGTTCGTGTGCTCTTTGGAAATTTCCATAAAAGTAAAAAGAAGCCAAATAGTACTAGTGAAGTGTTTAAAACCTCCCAACAAAAACTAGGAAATTCTGGCTTCAGTTACTGAAACAGGTGACCATAACACTGACTTAACTTCATCTTCTGTACCGTTTGACATACCTCAAAGTAGATTCTTTTTCTGCAAAATTTCTTTATTGTTGTAAAAATATATAGGTGCATGTGTGTATAAAACGCAGTATTTGCCAATTCAGCACTTTTTTGATGTACAGTTTAGTGACATCAGTTACATTAATCATGTTGTGCACCCATCCCTGTATTTGTTGCCAAGTTTTTCATCGTCATAAACAGATACTCACGGCTTCCCTTTCCCCCTCCCTCTTGCCCCTGCTAAGTATTAATAAACTTTGATCTCTGTACGATTGCCTATTCTAGATATTTCATTTAAGTGGGGTTATATAATATTTGTCCGTTTGTGTCTGAATTATTTCACTGAGCATAATGTTTTCAAGGTTTAGCTATGTTGTAGCATTTTTCAGGACTTTGCTTCTCTTTATGGCTGACTAATATTCCATTATATGTAGATACAGCACCGCATTTTGTTTATCCATTCATCTATTGATGGACATTTAGGTTTTTTCCACCTTCTGTCTATTGCGAATAGTGCTGCAGTGAACTTTGGTGTTCCAAGTTGAAACCTGACTCCACATTAGAATCACCTGGGGAGCATTTTAAACTATGAATGCTTGCTTGGGGCCTTGCATAAGACCTTTAGTTAACAAATTTCTGGAGGGTGGGACTTAGGTATCTATAGTTTCAGAAGCTTTCCAGATGTTTCTAATGTGGTTGAAACTACTGGCTTAGACACTAAGGGATTATTTCATGACAAGAGGTAGTGTAGTATAGTCAGAAAAGCTTGTGGTTTAGAGATGGAAATCATGAAATTCTAATTTTGCCCCTTACTAGCTATGTGACACTTTGGACTTAAATTCTGAGGCTGCATTTCCTCATTTGTAAAATGGAAGTATGCTACCTCACAGGGTTATTGAGTCTCAAATGAGAACACATGAAAGCACTTTATAAAACAATGAACACTATTCTATTCGTATGTTAGGCAGACTGTCAGATACTTAAGACCCTAGTGTAGTGTGTCAGTTTTTTCCCCATCTTCTTCATATTTTTTGTTGTTAGCTGCAGTCGAGTCACCCGCAACTCATGGCAACTCCATGTACAAGAGAATGAAATGCTGCCCAGTCCTGTGCAGCGATGGTTTGGGAATCGGACCATTGTGGTCCATAGGGTTTTCATTAGCTAATTTTTGGAAGTAGATTGCCAGGCTTTTTTTCCCTAGTCTATCTTAATCTGGAAGTTCCACTAAAACTTGTTCAGCATCATAGCAACACACAAACTGGGCTGGCCCTATATGCAAGTTGAACATTCCTCACGTGGTTCATTTGAAGAACATTGACAAGCCCAACAGACTAAAATACGTTAGCCTATTAGGGCCCAGAATTCTTACCTTGAATTTTGCTTCCCCCTAGCCTGGCCTTTGGGTGGCAATTTTTGAGAGACAAAATTTAGCACAAAAACTTGCCCGTGGTTTGCATATTTCTTCAACACAGATTTTATCCTTGTGAAGACTAAGGAAACATGCATGAGATAACATATATTGTTGTGTTGCTTCTAGGTTAAAAGTTATATGCTTTATAGGGAATCAGTTATTAAACACTTGTATTTATTGAATTTACTTAATAAACATCGAGTGCCTACGTGTTTTGTACTATTCTAGGCCCTTGGTGTATAGTAGTGAACATAACAAAAACTACCTTCATGGAGCTTAATTTCTAGTGATGTTTGTGTTCCATAAACTGTCAAATAAAATGAAGATATGTTTAATTGTAACGTGAATGGTATGTTCCTTTTATACCGCTTAATCTTTCAAGGTGTTTAAACTAGTGACATTTTATTAGTAGCTGAAGCTGAATTGTCTTGTCCTTTGCAAATAACTGATTTTAGTTTAACAGTTACTTGTTTATCTTGATACATTTCATTATTGCAGTATTTGTAACCAGAAAGAATATATATTGGTATATACATTTCGATCACCTTTCATTTTTATTAACAATAAGCAATTGTTTATGTAAATTTATTATTTGAACCTGTAAGTTACTGTGGGTAGACAGTTGAGAGTAGTGAGAAGGGGAGGGTGGTTTTTCTAGTGCCTTAAATGATCTGGGGTCACAAATATCATTGCCCAGAAATTATAACATTGATAATAAACCTTTATATCAGGTTATCTAAACCTTGGTTAGTTTCTTTCTTTCCTTCATTGCCACACATCTTTAACAAGAAGTCTGTTATTATATATTACCTTCTCTATCGTCATCTACTTTTTTGTTTTATCTTAAATTTCTAAAAATTAGAATTAAAATATGTAGAGAACAAGACAAAGAA